AAAAGATAATTTCTTGTTTGACTTAGAAGGCCTGTGAGACAAAAGTTATAAAGGTTATTATATATTTATTTTACTTTTTAATTCTGTCTCTAATAACAATTAGAAAATGTCTCATTCTATTTCATGTTGTATAGAAATTGCTTAAAAGATAATTATGTTATATAAAGTGATCAATGAAAACAAATGTCATCTTCATCTTTTAAAGGTGGGGATGCTATATATAAGCACTTTTTCCAGATGTGAGTCCTTATGAATGTTCTTGTTAAGATACTTTGAATCTTGTAATGAAGTTAATAAAACTATGTTAATGTGTTTGTTTGGCTGAGAGCTTAGACATAAAGGCTCTGGCTGGCATGGTGGCTCACGCCTGTTATCCCTGCACTTTGGGAGGCCAAGGTGGGTGGATCACTTGAGGTTAGGAGTTCGAGACCAGCCAGGCTGACATGGTGAAGCCCCTGTCTGTAGTAAAAATACAAAAATTAGCCAGGTGTGGTAGCAAGCACTTGTAGTCCCAGCTACTCAGGAGGCTGAGGCAGGAGGATCCCTGGAACCCAGGAATCAGAGGTTGCGGTGAGCCCAGATCGTGCCACTGCACTCCAGCCTGGGCGACAAAGTGAGACTTCATCTCAAAAAATAAAAATTAAGTTAAAATTTAAAAAATAAAAGTTCTGTTTCCCATCTCCTGTGATTGATTTTGCGTACTGTTTCTCAAACTTGTCTGATTGTAAAATTCCTCAGGGTAGTAGGCAAGTGGGGGAGTGGGTAGAGTATAAAAGTGGTTTAAAAGATTCCCAGATTGCAACTTGAGACTTCCTGGATTAGAATTTCTAAGAGAAAGGAGATATTTCAAATAGACAAAAATGATAAAATTTTAAAGTAGTCAACAACAACAAAAAAAGGTGAGTTTGGGAAATGCAGGTGGGAAATGACTATTGTTGGAATGAAGAGTTGATATAACTTATTAGGACTCCTGTACATAAAATGTTCAAATATGGAAACCATGATTTTATTAATATGATGATGCCACTCATTTAGGAAATCTGAAACTTTTATATTTTTTTCTGGTCAACTTTCTGCTGATCAAATTTAGCAAACATATTTTTGTCTTTTTTATGTGGTATGTAATATTAATTCAAGTTCTGGAATGTGATAAGAGCATTTTATTAATGGATGACTAATGCAGATTACTGTAACTAGTATCCACAGCAAAATATTGTACCTAATAATTTCTCTTTCTTTTTCTTCTTTTTTTCTTGAGAAAAGGTCACACTCTGTCATCCAGGCTGGAGTACAGTGGTGTGATCATGGCTCATGCAGCCTTTACCTCTCAGGCTCAAGCAATCCTCCCACTCCAGCCTCCCGAGTATCTGGGACTACAGGCATGTGCCACCATCCCAGCTAATTTTTAAAATTTTGTAAAAATGGAGTCCCACTATGTTGCCCAGGCTGGTCTCAAACTCCTGGGGGCTCATGACATCCTTTTGCCTCAGCCTCCCAAAGTGCTGGGATTACAGGT